GTGAAAAATCCTCCCCTGTCTATCGGTGATCCATCTGTTGTTGAACAATGGTTGTTGGCATACTTCCTCCCATCTGTTYGGGGCAGTTTTGTCTGGTAGAGGTAGCTTGCGCCAAGTTTTGAGGATGTCTGTCAAAAAAGGATCATTTTTTATATCCCTCCTTATAGCTTGTTGATGAGACTTCGCGGGCTGGTCGTTGGACTGTGAACCACCTCTGGGGATAGGCCAATGTCGATTCTCTACCTACATCAGTGGATCAGTCTCACTAGGTACTTCAGGGGCAAGTCTTGCGATTTGCTCTTCTGCTAGTGCTAACCAGGGTGTTTCTGGGTTGAAAAGAAGTCTTTTAATCCACTGAACTGAAAAGGTCATGGCTTGGATAGATGGGTCTATTATCCCCAACCCTCCTTTTTCTTTGGGTTGGATCACTGCCTGCCATGCCACTCTGCTTAATACATTCTTATAATCATGGTTTCCTCTCCAAAGATATGTTGTGATTTTTCTGTGTAGGGGTTTAAGTGCTCATACTGCTGATTTGTACCAGAGTGAGGCCAGTATAACATTGTTGATGACTAGTGACCGTCCTATAATAGAGGTCCTTTTGTCTTTCCATAATTCCAGTTTTGAAAGAGCCAGTTTGCTTATCCATTCATTGATCTCAACTGACTTACCCCTTGCTGAGAGTGAAATCCTCAGTACTCTGATAGATTCAACTTGAAACCCAGTTAATTCTTGGATATTCCGGCGGTCTCACTCCCTGGTGGTGTATCCACCAGCCTTGCGTTTTGGTACCCCAGTTCATTCTCATATCTGAGACAGCGCAAAATTTATCCATTAGTTTTTTTATTTTTCCTTTAGATTTTCCTGAGAGGCTTCAACCATTAGTGAGAGGTCATCTGCAAACAGGGAGCACACTGGTATGGCTTCTTTCGGTATGTAGCTGACCTGGATTCGCCTGATATCTTTGTTACTTCTCAAGTTGGTTGTCAGGGCCTCCATTATTATGACAAAAAGGAAAGGGGCGATAGGGTTTCCTTGTCTCACTGATCTCTCCAGTTCAATGGGTGGGGCTAAGTTGCCATTTATCATCACCCTCGTAGTTGCATTAGCGTGAAGAATCTCAATCCATTTACGGAAGTTATGGCCAAAATTAAACTTTTCCAGACATTTTTCCAGAAAAAAACAGTCCACATGATCATAGGCTTTTTCAAAATCTATGAAGATGAAAGCCGCATTGTGTTTGGATTGCCTTGAGAGTTTTGTTAGTTCATTTACTAGTAGGATGCTGTCCTCGAAGTTTCTTCCTTCAATAAAGCCAGTTTGAGTTGGGTGGATGATCTCCCTGATGACCTTCATCATCCGGTTGGCTAGCACTTTTGTTGCCAACTTATATATTACTGTGAGGAGGGTAATAGGACGGTAATTTCGGATATTAACTTTATCTCCCTTTTTATATAAAAGAGTCAGAATTTCTTGCCCAACTATCTCTCCCGTCGTTCCAGAGGACCAGACTGCATGATAGAAATCCATCAAATCCTGGGCCATAAAGTCCCACATTACTTCCCAGAATTCCTTTGGTAAGCCATCAATCCCTGGAGTCTTTTTTTCTTCCATCATCATTAAGGCTGTCCAAACTTCATCTTTTGTGAGGGGAGTTTCTAGCTTTTCCTTCTGTTGCTCTGTCAGGGTTTTAGTCAGAGGTTTGAGGAATTCCTCTATTTCTGTGACTCTTTGATCTTTCGGCTGTTTGCATTCTGATGTGAAGAGGGATTTATAAAAGTCCCTTGCTACTTTTGTGCATTCCGCCGTAGAGGTGACCAGAGGGAGTTCTTCTCCCTTAGGGTCAAAAAATGCCTCGATAATTGTACGTCCAGTTCTTACTTTTGTTGTGGCGAAGAACCTAGCATTCATGACTCCTTCTGTATTATGACCTTTTAATTTTCCTCTTATTCCGATCCCTTGCCATCTATGTTCCATGAATGATAATAGTTTATTTTCAAGAGTGTTGATTTTATGTGATATTTCTATTTTTGTTCTTCACTAGTCATCCCTTCTTCTTGTTGCTGTAGTTGTACAAGTTGTTTTTGTAAGTCAATTTCTTCCGTGTTTCGCTGCATTGCCAATTAGCGATGAGCGATGGAAGAGAAGACAATGGAATGTCGTGGAGACATGTTATTTTTTTTATGCTTAGTCTCCAAGATGACTATTGACTTCTCTTGAATAGAACGTGTAGTCTTTATATCAGTTGTATTCGGACCAACTTTCCTTCTAGGTACAACTTTAATGACAGTTTGTCTATTTAAGGAAGGCGGTACATTTCAGGAGAAGCATGCGCGTGTTGCATAGTCTTTTGGGTATATTTTTTATGAATATGGGTGCAAATCTAGACTACATGCATTCTACCTGATCCGACATTTGGAGGCTTCTCTCCAAGCTCACAGGGTCAGAGAGGAGGAGGGCCTACAACAACTCAACATAGAGTGGATTCAAACTCAGGTGTGCATTTCGGGAGTTCATTTATGAATTTTAGCCTATCTCGTGGGGTTCTTCATCGAATAGGCTAGTAATTGATCATGATCCTATTTTCAGACAAAACCGGGTGAGAGTCCCGGTATCTCAAAGTTTCTTCTGTATACGTTCTCAAAACATGTTTCATGTTTCAAATGGGACGCTGGGCCTCGGGGCCTCGTCCCACTTGCACCGTTGAGTTAGCTCAACGTTGAGATTTCTATCACATGGGACAAAGCGCGACGTCGGGGATGCAAAATAGTAGGAGAATCCATCAGTTCTTTTTTTTTTCTGCATAGCCACGCGGTTGTTGTTTTGTTAAATTATAACATAACCTCAAAGAAACTTAAAAAACTCGAATATAAAGCCCCCTACCCTCGTGCCCTAGCTTTGAGCTAGCTGCCTTTTTTTTTGCGTTGTAGCTAGTTCAAAGCAATTTTTTTCTTCTTCTTCTGTGAGTTGTGTATTTTTCATCTTTTGTTGACCGTTGACGGTTCAGTCATCCGTTGTCCGCGCGTTCTTTAGCTTTTTTCACGGGAATGTTATTTCTATAGCTGTTTATACGTGGTTGTACTGTCTGTTTGTGTGCCCTGAATGTGGACAACTTCTCATTCAGGTTCACAAAACAGCGATTTCGTCAAAACGGACATTTTATATTTTTTGAACAAATTGAAATTGTCATTTTTGAGATGATTGAAGTGCAAAAAACATTACAAATGGGCGTTCTGGTGTGAGGGAAAAGGGGTAAGGTATAAAGGGTAAGGTATAAGGGGTAAGGTGTAAGGGGTAAGGTGTAAGGGGTAAGGTGTAAGGTGTAGGGGGGTAAGGTGTAAGGTGTATGGGGTAAGGTGTAAGGTGTAAGGTACCATGCAAGGGCAAGTGACACAGTGCACCGAGGAATAATTAACACCTTATATACATTGTTTTTTGTCAAGCGCCATCTCGTGCCAACCACGTCCGCCCCCTTCGCAATCATACTATAGAATATCACATACGCACTACTCACGAGTCACTAGGTCCAATGCCATCCGACGACGTATCGCGGGTATGTCATCTGCGGTGAAACAGAAAGACGAAAGTTGGCCCCGTGTCAAAAGTGACGCGTACGAGAGTACAAAGACCCCACATTCGTTCGTGTCATGTTACTTTGGAATGCCCTCTACATTCCATATGTGATTGAATGGTCTTGTGTCCACCTCTTTGCCTTGCACTTTCGATCTTTCGAATAAAAACTTTGCAAACCCGCCGGTCACTTTTAACGCGAACTCCTTGTCGGGGTCGAGGGGGTCGTAAAATTCAAATTTTCTCCTCCTTAAGTCAGCCACGACCAAGGTTCAGTGGTCCTGGTGTGCGATATGGAAAGGAGCAATAATTAGATCCATGTCACTTATAATTACATCCTGGTACCAATGTTCTACCTCTCGGCCTCTATATCTCATGTCATTATCGAAAAGTTTGACAAAAAAAAACGAGTTCAGCACTGATACTCTGGGAATGCGACCGTTTCCTTCTCTAATGACTATCTCATTATCCGCGTCGCATTCTACGTGTTGTATTCTACAGCAGTTGTCTAATGCTACGAGGTTGAGATAAAAGTTGATCACGTTGTCGTTTAACCACTGTTGTTCGACGGCGAGTAAAACGAAATCGCTGCGAGTGAGTTGCAACACTTCGTTATTGTGCGCATCTTGTGCGCTGACATCAGGGTACCTATTCCCGTATTCGCGAATGATATGCTCTAGTGTTGCCATCTCCCTCTCCGATAAAGACGACGTTGCGAGATGCATTGTCCATCCTCTTTTGCACAATCTTGTATCCGTTGTTGTCATTTGTACTGCACACCACAGACGATGAGGAAGAGGACATTCACGTGGGCGGACGGGGCAAGTATAGTGAGTGCATGGTCAAACGCTTTGTGAGAATTGATGCATGCAAGGCATGTTTTCATTATTTCTCTAATATTTTACTTGTATGAACGTCATTCACATATGTAGTCATTCATTCCTCGCATCGATCGACCACCCTAAACACACGTCCATGTCGCAACGAGAGAGAGAGAGAGAGAGAGAGAGATGTACAATACCACACATACGCTCCCACCACGATTTGTTACTGGACATCGGGACGGGCAGTCAATCTAAACATCTCAGGTCTATTAAAAAATTAAGGTGAAAAAAATATATATACATAAATGGAAAAACGATGTAGAATTGGTGTCTGCGAAGACTAATACGAATTCTGTTTTAAACAAATCAACGAACCAAGTCAATTACACAATTTCGTTCAACAAGGCAGAGGTGAAGTTGTAATTATATCACTGGATTCTCCCCCTCCAATTGCACCCCTCCCGCCTAACTCATCCTCACTCTTTTAATCAATATCAGCGGTTAAGGTGTCGAGGTTGCGAGAACGGTGCATTCCCTCCACATCCCCTCCCTTCCCGCCATCCCCACCGGCCCCTCCCTGTGGTGTCATCGGTGATTGTGCATCACCTTTGCCAGTGCATAAAGACGGTTACAACTGACTCTCTGCCACGCTCGGCCCAACATCAGATTCTGACTCGATCTCGGATTTGCCTTGCATTGCAGCATTTGTTATCAATAAACTCCCGTACGTGGCACCTGCATCCGGCGGCAACGTCGTTGACACCTCGATGGCCGGGGACGATTGTGCCGAGGCGACCGAGATGGATTTTTTCGATATTTGCGGCATTGACGTCATGTCAACCTCTTGAGGCCCAACAACAGTAATCCCGTCATCTCCCCTATGCCCTGCTTGCGCGGCCACGGAGGCCGGCTCAGCCGAAGGCATGAAATCATGAGAGCAGCTCCCCTCCAAGGTTCTGGCGGTTTGATCAACCTTCCAGTTGATTGACCCGCACGAGGGGCTCGAGCGCAGGGCATAAAATTTGTTGCTGTACTCCAGTTGCCTATTGTCGCGCAAGACATGAAACAATTCTTCGGCCTTGGCTTTGATGGCGGCCTCGCTCTGCCCTGGATTCTCGACGAGCACGCGATGCAGGATCGCGAGCTCCGTCGTTTTCAACCAGATGTCCTTTGACATCCGACGAAAAGTCTTCCAACCGCTTGTGTATTTCACTGCCATCTTCCACTCCCCATCTTGGATGTTCGGCTGTAAAACGCCCTCATGCCATATGATGTCATGGCCCCATTGGTCCTCGCCTGTGTGGGTGTGTTTGCCCTCCAAGAAATAAATCGTGTTCGGGTCAGCACAGTAGCCTGGAGGAATTGCATCGCCTGGTGGGAGCGTCGACGCCTCGCCTGGTATCTCAATGTCGTCTTCTTCATTGCCACCGCATTTTCCATTGTCTTGCAATGCAGTAGTCTCCGATGGGGCCACCATTGAGGCGACGCTTGGGGCGGCCACCGGGATGGACCCTTCGTGCGAATGGACAGTTCCGTCATCATGAGCTTGCACCATTCCTCCGCGCGGAACCTCAACACATGTATCCTCGCCCAGTTCGAAGTCGGAGTCCGAAGAATCTTCCTCGCTGTCGACGGGGTTAAAGCCATCGCCCGATTTCGCGAGTTCCTCGTAGTCCTTGGACGTCAATTGGTCTTTGCAAAGATCGAACTTGAGGATCTCGCATCGAGCAACAAAAGTCTCAAAGGTGTCAGTGAGAGCACCATGATAATGTTTGAGGGTCTCTGTTGCCTTTGCTTTCCTGTATATATATTTCCCGTCAAGTCGTCCTTGTGGCATATCGCGGAACAGGTACTCCCACACCTTAAGTCTCTTAGGCCCCAACTTGTGGAACATGTCCCTGTTCGGGCGATGTTTGCAACGCGGTTTCTCGACGTGGCAGTTGAATCTGTCGTCCTTGACAAGTATATCGATGAACTTTGTCAAGTATGCAATGTCCTTTGCCGACTCGTCACAGGCAATGACATTATTCCCTGCCAGTAAGAATTCCCACACAAGACCCGCGTGCGCCCTACCCAATAAAAACACACCTTCCGCCTCCCCGACGAATGACCCGCACAACGAACGCAACTTGTTAGGCTCTCGCTCCCAGATGGAATACACCACACTTTTATCGCCCTCTATGCCACCGTGTTTCCCCAGTCACTTCCCGAACTTGTCCTCCACAATATGCACATTTGTGAGGTCATTGACAAGGCGGAGTGCGACCGTGACCTTTATGAGATCCCCTCCCTCCGCGTGCAGGACAATGGCCATCATGTCTCGACTTGCCGTAGCGCTATTGTCATACCTCGTGATGTCATTCGATGGCCTGTCCACCCGTTTCCAGGTCCCGAGGATGAGTTCGATGTCCTCCCACTGGAATAAGCAACGCAGAACATCACTTTGCACCTTCTGTGGTGTGAAGACAAAAAGAACCCAATTAACACCACAACACTTAGTCATCATAGAGTGCAGAGCGTCGAACTCTTGAGAGGTCCATGTCGTGTTGAAGTTAGCGGGAGAGATGTCAAGGATGACGGTTCTGCAAGTCATTTTTTGCGCCGCAGCGATGATGTCGTCTGGCGCAGCCAGCACTTCCTTCAATGGCATGCACACCGGTAGCAATGTTGTTTGTTTTTTAAGTTTATCCCACACGATATGACGTGCGCTGGAGGCGACCCGTTTGACCTCCGCCCGAAGCAGATCGAGCTTATCGATTGAGGTGTATACAAACACCTTAAAGTGGAACGGAGCCTCCTTATACATTGCCGCCCTAGGGCCCAAGCCTGATCCTTGCCTTGCCTCCTCCACCTCCAAGCCGTCGAGGGACCGTCTTCACTTTGCTGACATGCAATTTGTCCCGTTCCTTCTCCCATTCAGCTGCACACACACCGTTCGGCCCATACCTGTCTTCGAGGTCCTTGTATGACATGAAGAAGGCATCATTCCACTCATCGTCCGCCCTTCCCTCGGCGCGAAAAACAACGTAGTTGAACATACGGACCATGTACCGTTCCTTGCGCATGATGTCGAGGAGGCACTCCGTATTCACTCTCGGAGGCATGAACTTGAAGTTCGTCGCGACCACCTTCCCTTTCATGAGGAGCAGCAGTGCAACTTCCCTCTCGCGGCACGTCAAATCCCCAAAATTTTTGAAGTAGGAAGGACAGAGATCCTTCCACCACACGGTGGAGCCTTTGGGACCATCTCTCGCGTATATGCAATGGTATAATGTTCTTTGCCCTTTCGTCTCGTCGGTGTACGGGCCTGGCTGGCGCCCCTCCATCCTACTGGGCATGTCAAGTGGTATTTTACCATCGCCAACTGGCAGCTTCCCCTCGTTGAACATCTCGAAGAACTTCTCAATCAGTGGCCACACAGCCTCGGTGGATGTGGCGAGGTTCATGTAGCCACAGAGTTTATTGCTCCAATCCTTACTGTACTCATTCTCGAGCGCTTGCTTCACGAACGCGTTGTCGCATGCCTTCCCCATGAAGACCCTTAAGAAATTCTGCCACTTCTTTTGGTGCGCAACGGCGACCGCATCCTTATCGCTGACCTTGCTTTTCGGGGCCTCGATTCGATGGTTATCGATCCACCATTGCCTCATATCACGGACAGCATCCTCGAAGGACAACATCATGCCCCGATTTTCGCGCGTGTTGTTGAAGGCGAAGACATTGAAATACCCTCGCGTCTGCTCATCTCCAAAATAGACAACCCGCACCTTAGAGTACGCGCGAAGAACATAGATGTCGACTGCCGGAGAGCCCTTTTTTACCAATGTCTTCATGGCCTCGACCGTATGCTGACCACAGACAGCATACCAATCGAACTCCGAGGAGTCTTTTTCGAAGAATTCGGTCGGTGTTATTCGCCTACCCTGCCCGCCAACGATGTCGTTGCGGTCAACCGGCGCAAGCACGAGGTCAGGCCTATCCCACGGCCTCGGTTCCGTGGTGATGGAACTCTCGATGGCATTCACGATGCCTCGCACAATGTTCGCAGACAAAGAGCGGTGGTTGAAAAAAATATTCCCGCGGGGAATGCGTTTGATTTTCATGACGTCCACAAGAACAGGAAGGATTTTTTGCTTAGCAAAACCCCGCTCGTCGTACTCGAGGAAGAAACAACGTGTCGTGTCGATGGGCGCAGCGTGCTGAAGCGGTTCATCACCATCGTCAGGCATGCGAGGGCCCACTCCCTCGCCCTCATCCCCTGAGTCCCGCAGTTCTTCTGCCCTCACTACCTGCTTACCTTTTCTTGCGCCACCACGGCCGCCGCCACGACCGCCAGATCTTCCCCCCTGGCTGCTCTTCCGAGGAGGTCTCGCCTCCTGGGATGCCACCAGAGCTCCACGAGCCTCATTAACAACGTCATTCCTCGTTTGTCTCACAACGAAAACGTGCTCGTGCACTCACTAAATTTTTTATTTTTATTTTTTTTATTAGTATTTGTTTTTCGTATTTTATTTTTATTTCAAATTTGGTAAGGAATTTGGATATTATGCTCAGGCAAATCTTGTTTAATTTATTTTTCTTCATAACATATCTTTTTTCATATGTTTTTTATTTTTTTTAATTTATTTATTTTTATTTTTTGAGTCCGCGTTCGAGGTCCTATACGTTTGGGCGTTCGGCCCGTCCCGAACGCCGGTTACCCTGTATATATATATATATATATATATATATATATATAGGGTCACCAGCCCGTACGTATGGAGGCCCCCGGGCAGACTTCTGTACCTACGGGCGTTCAGGGTCCCGTACGGGGTCTGAACCCGACGGCGTTCGGCCCTCGCCAAAAAGATTTCGGGGTCTAAAAATACTTTTTTTTCTGAATTATTTTTGTGAGTTCTCTATGACGTGAGGTACATGCCTGTAAATATTCAAGTTATTTGGCTCAGCCAAATAAGAATTAAAAATCGCCAAAGATGGCGGTGTCGAAATGTGCTCGCCCACATTTTTTTTCACTTTAGTTCGGCGGGGTCTAAACAATTTTATTATTTTTTGAAACTTTTTTTAGTGGGTATTTCATTATGTGAAGTATACAACTGTAAATTTTCAGGGCATTTAGCTATGCAAAAAAAAAAAAAAAAAAAAAAAAA